ACAGTGATTTACCTCTGATTTGTAATATTTTTTTTTTTTTTATAGATGGATCACCAAACGTAGTGAAAAAGTGTGTCACATTTGACAAAAATTATATCGTGGGAACCAATGTCGATCATTCATCTCAGTAGTGAATGCAGGCAATATAGTCATTCAAGAAACGTGCGAAATAATAAAAGGAAAACAATATAATACTTTCTGCTTTCAACTATATATATATATATATACATACATCTGCAATTTATGTGCATATAAAGATTTTCCAATGTGTCACTAGGTTATACCATATTTAATTCTAACGAGCGAATAAATTTTTTTTTTTTTACTTCTTTATGACATGCGAGTCCTTATTTATATAGTAAAAAGATATCTCTCTTTTACTTGATAAAAATAAAATTATTAACGAGGCAAATTTGTAATCAGTTAAAAATTAACTGGTCTACTTAATCAAAAGCTTAAACTTCGTTTTACAATTTCAACTTGTTTTAATTCTTTTCACTTGTTTAAAATTTTTTTTGTATTTAAATATAAACTTTGTACATTAATTGTTTATAAATTAGTTTTTAAATTACTTTTCTAATTACTTTTTAAAATACTTTTTACAATACTTTTTAAAATACTTTTTAAAATACTTTTTAAAATACTTTTCTTTAAAAGTAAAAACTGGTTTTTAATTTTTATCTCAAATTTCATAGAAGCTATCAGTAAATATTAATCACTGTATCGATTGTCCATGTCCCTCTCTATATACCTACATTATTTCTTTAGACAAAGAGAGTAATATATTACTACAAGGAAAAGATGAGTAGACCACCAGCCGCTTTCTCACGATTTTCGTTCCTTCCTTGTATATAAGAAATTTATATTCTCCCTTGAATGTTTCTTTTTTTTTTTTTTCTTAAAACATTAAAGAAACATGAAAATACAATTCAGAAAACTTAAGAGGAAAATTATATTATTTCTTTTTGTAATAATTTTTTATACGAATTTTTACTTATAACTTTTTAGCTATTCGAATTTTTCTTTCGCAGAATTTTTAATTGTTAGCCCATTTTTATATTTTATAGTCATTTAATTTATATAGGATTTTTTTTTAATTAAAAGAATTTTTGATTTTAATTTAATTTAGCAGAATTTTCAATCAATCGAATTTTTAAATGACAAACTCCAATTCACCGAAATTTATATTTGTACAAATTTTTTAGGACGCCGCGTATTTTCATTTGTCCGAAATTATAAATGATTAAACAAATAATCGACAGAAAAATTTCGACGCAATTTGTTCGGACATTTGCAATTTCGAACAAATGAAAATTCGGGCAAATTCGAATTCGGACAAACAAAAATGTGGCGTCTCAATAATTCGTACAAACTAAAATTCGGGCAAATTCGAATTCGGACAAACTAAAATACGGCGTCTTAATAATTCGGTCAAATTAAAATTCAGACAAATGAAAATACGGCATCTTAATAATTCGGTCAAATAAAAATTCAGACAAATGAAAATAAGGCATCTTAATAATTCGAACAAATGAAAATACGGCGTCTTAATAATTCGCTCAAATTAAAATTCGGACAAATGATAATACGACGTCTTAATAATTTGGACAAATAAAAATTCGGGCAAATTCGAATTCGGAAAAACTAAAATGTGGCGTCTTAATTATTCGGTCAAATTAAAATTCGGGCAAATTCGAATTCGGACAAATGAAAATTCGGCGTCTTAATAATTCGGACAAATGAAAATACGGCGTTTTAATAATTCGGTCAAAATAATGATAATACGGCGTCTTAATAATTTGGACAAATGAAAATTCTGGCAAATTCGAATTCGGATAAATGAAAATACGGTGTATTAATAATTCGGTCAAATGAAAATACGGCATCTTAATAATTCGGACAAATGAAAATACGGCGTCTTAATAATTTGGTCAAATTCGAATTCGGACAAATGAAAATCCGTCTAAAAAATAAGAGAACAGATTAAAATTCGAATCACAAAATTCAATTGAATCAGAAATGGAAACTGCTCTTTTACAGTATATTTAATTTTTCTCAAATTTATATCGCACAGGTGAACACTTTTATATATTCAGAAATGATATAAATGAATGGTAAATCGCACGTACTAAACAAATTATGTTACCAGTAATAAACTGGAAAAGAATAAACATATATAAACAAGTCGACATCAGTTTGTAAAAGAGAAAAACGTGTCTCACATATAGAAGGTGCACGCAGAGCAAGATGAGGAAAAGCGGACGTTTGTATATACATATATATATAGGATACGAAATGTTTGTTGTGAAGTGATAACACAATTAGTCTGTCTCTTCATGCGCGACCTCTGATAAGGGATTCTCTTGTCGTGCATAACACGAACATGAGAACGTTCGTCAGCGTAAATCCGGCGGATAGAAGATCCCAAGGGAAAATAGAGGAGCGTTTCAGGGGCAGCACCCGATAAGGGTGGTTAACCCTCTCTAGAGAATGTGTGTGTGTGTGTGTATGTGTATATATTCGGTCCAAAGGTGGGGGAGGTAATGCCTTCCGGCACGTTTTCTTTGCTTGATTTATTCTATAAGGGTCTCTCTCCGAAACGCCGTAACATGACATATTTATGCGCGCATCAGGTGCGCGCTCACTTTCGCAAAGTACAAACATTCTGTGTGGCTTTTATGTATTTGAATTACTTTTATTCGAATCTTTACTTGATATTCATAAACGTGAACTTTATTATTTTCTTATAAAAACAAATGCAATAAATAAATAAACAAGTCTCGTCAAGGTAAACGATAATTAAATATAATTTGTTGCTTGTTTTTCGCAATTGTAATGAAATCTTATTAGTAAAATTATAATTTGTTATAATTATTATAAAGATTGTATCTTTTTGTCGAATTTTTGTATATTATTTCTTGTCATTCGACTTTTGATGTCATTACATTTACATATATATTTGCATTTTACATTGAAAAAACAGGTGAAAGACATAGTTCCCCTTTTAAGATATTGTTTTTGTTGTCTTATTAAATTCTTTTTTTTTCGTTTGCGACAGCTACTGCTGCGCTCAAAATTTTTTCACAGTTATTAATTAATTATTATTTATCAATTTTATAGACAAAATTAAATTAAATAATTAAAAATTATTAATTAGTTAATAAATATTTTTTTAATAAAACTCATTCAATTGAAATGTATATGTATACCTCGGAATTTTATGATGCTGAAGTCTGCAACGTTTTCAAAAACAAAAAATTAAAATATGTAGAATTATTTTTTCATGTCAATTTATATCTAATTTTGATTTGTACAAACTTTTAAGAAATTAACACTTTTATAAAAACCAGTTACCTCCGAATAACTATAATTTTAACCCAAAGTAATAGATATATTGTCTAATTATTTTTTCGTTTTCGTTTATAAAAACGTTGCGAACTTCACAGCATCATCAAATTTTTAAATGGCAGAAATTCCAAATCACCGAATTTTCATTTGCCCAAATTTTAATTTGTACAAATTATTAAGACGTCGCAATTTCGTTTGTCCGAATTCGAATTTGCCCGAATTTTAATTTGTACGAATTATTAGGACGTCGTATTTTCATTTGTCCGAATTTTAATTTTCCCGAATTATTAAAACGCTGTATTTTCATTTGTCCAAATTTGAATTTTCCCGAATTATTACGACGCCGTATTTTCATTTGTCCGAATTCGAATTTTCCCGAATTTTAATTAGACCGAATTATTAAGATGCCGCATTTTCATTTGTCCGAATTTGAATTTACCCGAATTATTAAGACGCTGTATTTTAATTTGCCCAAATTTTAATTTGTACGAATTATTAAGACGTCGTATTTTCATTTGTCCAAATTTGAATTTGCCTGAATTATTAAGACGCCGTATTTTCATTTGTCCGAATTATTAAGACGCCGTATTTTCATTTGGCCGAATTCGAATTTGCCCGAATTTTAATTAGACCGAATTATTAAAACGCTGTATTTTCATTTGTCCAAATTTGAATTTTCCCGAATTATTACGACGCCGTATTTTCATTTGTCCGAATTCGAATTTTCCCGAATTTTAATTAGACCGAATTATTAAGATGCCGTATCTTCATTTGTCCGAATTTGAATTTGCCCGAATTATTAAGACGCTGTATTTTAATTTGCCCAAAATTTTAATTTGTACGAATCATTAAGACGTCGCAATTTCGTTTGTCCGAATTCGAATTTGCCCGAATTTTAATTTGTACGAATTATTAAGACGTCACATTTTTGTTTGTTCCAATTTTCATTTGCCCGAATTTTTATTTGTCCAAGCAAATTGCACTGAAATTTTTCTGTCGATTGTTTATTTTGGCCAATTGTAATTTCGGACAAATTGGAAATTCGGCGTCTTAAAAATTCGGACAAATAATAATTCGGCGAATTAAAATTTTTGTCATTCGAAAATTTCAAATCACATAAAATTCGATTGAATGCACGCAAAAAAATATTCACCTAGAATAGCGATATGTTTCATTAAAACAGTGAAAATTTTCGCTATTGTAGACAAATATATATCGCTATTCCAGAGAAACTTATCATTGTTTCAGGTAAAATTTGGTTAAAAAATAATTATTTCTTATAAAATACTTCAAAATAATAATTCTAATTAATGATATTTTTTTGTAGGAAATTTTGAAATTATCTTATTTCAGTTCTCGGTAAGTTTGAAATTAAATAAAAGTCTATTATACCCTCTTTTTACACTCTGTGAAAGCTTTCTTCCAATTCCAATCCATATCCATTATCTCCGCGAAATGTATCTCTATCACTTGGGAATAATAAAAAGATCGAAAAAAAAAAAAAAAAAAAAAAACTTTGGGAAACATGCTCTAAGGTAGGGCGGAGCGGAATGAACCATAAGGGGTGGTTCGGTGTGGTAATAGCATAAATCGGTGTGCCGTCGGTAAAAGGGGAAGGGGAAGGGACAGCACCAGCAGCAGCAGCAGCAGCAGTAGACACTGGTGTTGGAAAGACAGTCGCCACTCGACGTCCGCACAGAACGGAAAGGAGTTCAACACAATCGTGTGTATCTAATTTTTCGAAAGTTTTTTTTATTTTTTTGAATTTTTAATACATATTTAATATGTAGAAAGAGAAAATTTTTTTGAAAATTTGCAAAAAAAATTGAGAAAACTAATTTTTTTATTGGTGAGAAAAAAAAAGAGTGCACGTGACAGTGTACCTCTCACTGTGAAGACAACGACCCTGGGTGATCGTGTTTGCTTCGCTAAAGTGCAAGGACTGTGGGGTGATAGTGCTTCTGTAGTACACTGACACGGAATCAGCGCTTACTTTGATTTCAACAAAAGAAGTAGATTTTTTCTTCTCTATTTTTCTTCAATTTAAAGTGTCAAGGTCGTTACTTTGAACTGATTTTCAGGTGATTAAAGTGCAAATCTAGAAGTATTTCTCGCCTTTTTCAGTAACTGAAAAACAAGATATTATGAGATAATTTTTTTTTTTTTCGAAGAAAATAAAACAACTGTCACTGGAGAATTAAAAGCTCTTCAAACACGTGCGACGACAATAACGGCACATGTAAGCACCGGTGCGAGATTAGCGACTTGATGGAACTAGCGAAGAACCAATCGCGTACAAGCTGTTTGGCACGAGCCATCGGCGAAATGAGATGGGTTGGGGTGAAGTGAAATGGAAGGGAAAATTAAAACCAAGTGAAATGAACTGATGAGAGAAAGTGTATAACTCGTCGCAGGTACGAGTTGAGCACGTGTAAATTATTTATTTATTATTTTTTTTTTTTTGAAAATTAAAAATCATAAAAGTGATTTTAAAAAGTGAAAATTATTTGTTCGATGAATAAAACTTGGCGAGGTGTTTAGCCGTGCGCGATATTTGTAAATAGCCACGGAAAGGGAAACGATTTTGCAATAATTTATTATAAACGAACGAAGAAGTTATATTACAAGGCAGGAAAAATTGATGACAGTGACGAGAGGAGACAGTTCACGCTACTACCATATTATTTTATTGGATATCGCTCTTACTGACTTCCTTCACGATAACGGTAAGTTTAAATGTACGCGCTCTCTTGGCACTGTAACGCTTCTCATATATATATATATGTCTAACGTGAGTCTGCATCATATTTGCAATGACAGTTTATCTTCCTTTCATCTCAATTAAAAAATTAAATAACCAAAAGATTCACCAAATCAAATTCTAAAACATTTAAATTTATAAGCTAAAATGACCGCTTTTAATGAACGAAAAAATTGAAAAATTATATCTTTTAAAAATTAAATAAACTCGTTAACTAAGTGATAACTCATGTTTTGACGCATCATGCAGGAAAAAGTATTCTTTTTTTTTCTTATTAATTGTATGTAGAAAAAAACAAGTTCTTCAACTTTAAAATGATTTTTTAATGTTTCTATCAGTTTTCTATTACAATCACTACGATAATTTCCTCTGTAAATCATTTTTCATTATTAAACGATTAACCATTTATATGGCCAATGACAGACTTGTATATATATACCTAGATTATTATACTCTAGTGTATTCAATGATGATAGTGACTATGACTTTGAAAAAAATAAAAAAGCAAATTGTGTCATGTGCACTCCGTTAGTAAAAATGTCAAAGAATTTCCAAGTTTATGTTAAATAAAACTACTCTTATAAAGTGACACGCGATTTAATATTACGTATAATAATTTTATACTTTGAATAAACTAATTATGAAAAAAAAAACATTAATTAAATGATAGAATATTATTATTATTTTTTATAAATCTTTTAAAAATATGAATATTTCAAGGAACCGAAAGAAAAGACAAAAAATATATATGTTTCTTTCGTGACAGTTTTACACCGAAAGGTGGATTTTTTTTTTTTTTTTAAATAAATGTACCATAAAGAAGATGAAAATTTTATCTCAAAAAGAGAGAATAAAAAGAGATATTGCTCAATTATTGATAAAGCAATAAAGATTTATTGATTTCTGTCTATATTCAACGTTATATAGTGAATATAATTATTGAAAATTACGGATATATTTATACTATAATAAAGCAAAACGCTAAAAACACTAAAAACCCAAAAATATATAAAAATAAAGTATAAATGAAATTTAAAAAAAAATCATTTTATATATATATTAGGAACAAGTTTTGGTGATTAAATTTACAACATAATTACAATGGCCTTCACTTTCATAAATAATTTAGGGTAAACTAATATTTTATGGCAAATATTTGTTCAAACATTAAAAAAGATAAAAATGTTACAATGATAAACTATAAATGATAATTTTTCTTTTTTTCATAATCCGTATTATTTATTTAATTAAAAAAGAAACGAAATTTTTAATCTTTTTATTAGTATTACTGCCTATTATTATTATTATTATTATTATTATTATTATTATTATTATTGTCATTATTATTATTTTTATACTTTTTATAATAACATGTAATTGAGATATGGATTAATAATAATTGTTTTTATATTGATTAAAAATACAATTTTTAGTCATGTAAATCAAAGATAATACTTTATGGTTTTCAATAAATGAAACTAACAATAAAATCTAAATACTAACCAGACATTCAAGGAATTTTTTTTTTTTTTAATGACTTCATAATGAAAGAATAATTAAACGCGTAGACAACAATATAAATTTGCTTAATAAAAAAAAAAAAAAAAAAAAAATTAATGAATAATGTTGAGTTCAAAGATGCAATTATTTTTATATTTGATTACAGTTAATTTGTCGCAGATATATATATATAAAACTCCCAATATTTTTTTCACTTATTGATTCGTATATTTATATATATATTATTAATATTGATTCTTATTATTATTATTGAGGGTAATTATTTTTCGATTAATATACCTATAACGCTATACGGAAGTTTTCCAAATTTTTGATTATTATTATTTGTTTAGTATCATCATTATTAGTGAAAAAAAAAATTTTATTCAAAGGTTTTAAAATGGAAATGTCAACAGTTTTCTTATTTATGATAGAATTAATTCAATATTACTATTTACAGTTAAATTAATTATTTCGGTATTTTTGAAGCAATTATAAAAAAAATGTTTTTTTTTGGAAGAAATACACTGAAAAAAGGGTTTGGCATTGACAACCAAACGTTTGGTTGGTATATTTAAGCAACCAATTTTTTTTTGTTGTATCAACAAAATTTTAATTGACTCAATGAAAATTTGTTTGACACGACCAAAATTAGAAAAAAAGGATTTTTATTGTCCTCACAGAAAATTAAAAGGCATTAAAATAAGCTGCAACGCGCTTATTATTTTCATCCAATTTTGCTTATTTTAATACCAAAATGAATTAAAATAAGCAAAATTGGATTAAAATAATAAGCGTTGCATTAGCTTATTTTTATACCTTATAATTTTCTGTGCTAACTAAAGTTTGATTGGAACAACCAAAATTTTGTTAATTCAACAAAAAAAAAAATTGGTTGCGTTGCAGCTTATTTTAATACCTTATAATTTTCTGTGCTAACTAAAGTTTGATTGGAACAACCAAAATTTTGTTAATTCAACAAAAAAAAATTGGTTGCTTAAATACCAACCAAACGTTTGGTTGTCAATACCAAACCCTTTTTTCAGTGTAGCTCTTTTTACTAATGAGATGGTACTTTCAATTAAAGTATTATCAAAACTTCTAAATATAGAATAAGTAAAAAAATAAGTAAAAAAATTAGAGCTGTGCAAGTATTTAAAATTCGAACCGCTCCAAAAGAATTATCATGGGCTCGAATCGAATATTCGATCCGAGCCTATACAAAATTCGAACTTTTGCACAGCTCTAAAAAAAATATAAGTTCTTTAATATATACTTATGTAAATAAATTATATTAATTGATTTAAAAGAAATACGGAAAATTATTTAAAGAAAAGTTTTTTCGAAACCGAAAGCCATGAACAAATAAATATAGAAAAGCCTAATTGAAGTTAAAAGGTTAGACAAATAATGTCTGCTCTAGAACTTTATAGTGCAACATGATTCCAGTATAGGTTAAAGGAGGTCGGAATCCGCGATCAGGTTGAGATCTTGGAAGGAAATCGAGATCAAAGTGGTTTTGCGACGGTTGTTTGCCTGGGTTATGCTGTTTCCACGTACATATACATATATATATATATAGTTAAAGGCCTGGACGCAGGTGCAGCAGTTATGACAATATTATGAGTGCTACCGTACTTTGCCGCGGCCGATCCTGTTTTAATCTCACCAGGGCAGTTGCTCTCAGTGTCTCTATTTCTACATTCGAATGCGTTCAACATATTTGAAAAATATATGTGCAAATAAACGAGAAATATAGACGCAAATAGAGAGTATATATATATAGATTATAAATATATATAATATTATAACGTAACAGGTATATACCTGCAACACTTTCTAACGAGAGAGACAGAGAGAATAATATTCGATCCGGTATAGATCTTGAAACGACGACAACGACGGCGGCAATATAATCCCATTAAGACCAAGATTCATCTCACGTTTGTGGCCTGATCCTCGAAAGTGTGTCCGACCGCAAAGTGGGTCGACCATGACACTCTTTTTCAAGTCCCCCGTGTGAATGAATTTATCACTTGACCACTGGCTCCTGAAGCCTCACAGGAAGAACAAAGAATGACCGCACAGGTTGGAAAGGAACTCATTTGTCTTTTTAGAAAGACAAAAAAAAGAAACTGCTTCCTAATATATCTATTTTCCCAGAGTTTTTTTTTTTTGGTCAAAAACTTTAAAAGCATTTCTCAATGCAATTTTTATTGGAGATCTCCTTTAAAGATATTTTTCTTCAGATGAGGGTTGACATGAAGGTTTTATTTTTGACAAGCGTCTTTTTTTTTAGATAAATATAAAATAAGATTGTTATGTTCCTTTTGAAAATAAATAAAAAATAATTAGTTAATCCTTAAAAAGTGTTGAATCATGCGAACTTGATTTGGAGGGGGAATATAGAAAAATTAGCTACGCCTAAATTGCGTTCGAATTTTGAGGGTGACTAATTAGCTACTGGGGAATAGGGTTGGCACCCGTTTGCTTTTTAACCATTAAGAGAGCTGATATTTTAAGACAGTTTGTGAGGGCTTTGACCGGCTTTTCGAAACTTATAATAGAACATAACATATGCACTAAAAGACTTAATTCTCAATATTCGTTGTGAAATATATAAATATATATACAAGAGAAGAAAAACATATATTTTCAGTTACAAAAATAATCAAAAGAAACTATTGGAGAGGAAATATTTTATAAGTAAATTATATTGAATTGAATCGACTTTGCTCATATTGTGTAAAGGATTTGCACGACGACGACAGAAGCGGGATCTGAAGTGAAAGAGAAGGGTCGGTAAATTGCTATATAGGAATTTAATCCTTTGGATGTTGGAAGAGAGATCTAATACTGTCAGTGGTCACAGGTTCAATCAAGTACTGAACCAATTCGCGTTTTCGAAACGAGAATTTAGCCATTGATGGGGTATATATCAGCACAGTCAAACTGTATATATATATATATAGAGAGAGAATGGGAATGAAATAAAGTGCGGTGAAACGCGCTGCATGCAAATAATACACATTGGAATCGGAATCTTTCACCAGAACGAAATTCAATAGCAATTTGACCATGGATCCCATTAATCCCAACTGACTCGAATTTCATTAAAAACAACAAAATTACCCTCATCCTTTCAACTATTTTGGAAATAGAAATCATTTTATTAATTTTCCTAAATATTACCACAATATTGTTAATGAAAATGAAACTGATATTAGAAATTAAAACCGGTTTACGAAAACGAATTGATTATTAAAAATTTTCATGGTCTAAAATGCTCTGATACGTGTCCAAGAAAGCGTAGTGCGTGAAAAACCAGATTTATACCAGGAAATTATGCTGCAACTATACCTAAATATAATTTTTAATGAATAATTTAGACGCAAGTTTGTAAATTAAATTCGATAATTTTAACAATTTAAAAAATGAATAATGAAAATTATTGCGGTGAAGAGT